CGGAACTAGGATAATGCTGAACATGTAAAATGAACTTAGGAGATTTGCTTCCTTTTGGATTTTTGGATTCATTTTAGATGGATAGTTGTTAGTTTTCTTTGGATCATTGGTAAAATTCATCTGTGAACACATCCAGTCGAGAACTTTTGTTTGCTATAAGTGTTTTGATTATGGCTTTAATTTCATTAACTGTAATTGGTCTATATAGATTCTCTGATTTTTGTTGATTCAGTTTTGGGAATTTGTATATTTCTATTTACCTATTTTTTCAAGGTTGTCCAATTTATTGGCATATAGTTCATAAATTATTGTACAGCCTTCTGTATATCTGTGCTGTCAGTTGTAATTTCAACTCTTTCTTATCTATTTGGGTTTTCTCTCTTTTTCTCTTCATGAGTCTTATTAAATATTTGTAAATTTTGTCTTTTCAGAGAGCCAGCTCTTAGTTTTATTGATCTTTTGTATTGTCTTTTTAGGCTCTATTTTTTTTCTGGTCTGATCTTTATAATTTCCTTCCTTTTGCTCACTTTGGGCTTTGTTTGTTGTTTTTTTCTTAGTTCCTTTAAGTATAACTTTAGATTGTTTATTTGTAATTTTTCTTTTTTCTTGCAGTAGGCCTTTGATGCTATTAATTTCCCTGTTAGGACTGCCTTTGTTGTGTCCCATAGATTTGGGGTTGTTGCGTTCTTATTTTCATATGTTTCAAGTAATTTTTTGATTTTTTTCTTGATTTCATTGTTCACCCATTCATTGTTTAGTAAAATGTTATTTTGCTCTCATATGTTTATGTTTTTCTGTTTTTTTACCTTGTAATTGTACCTATATAATTTTATACCATTATAGATAGAGATGATTGGTAAGATTTCAATCTTCTTAAATTTATTGAGACTTTTTTTTTTCCCCCCCGTCAGGTGGTATGTCCTAGAAAATATTCCATGAGCACTTGTAAAGAATGTATATTCAGCTGCTTGGTTAAAATGCTTTCTGAAAATATCAGTTAAATCCATGTGCTATAGTATATCACTCAAAGCTGAAGTTTTCTTGTTGATTTTCTGTCTGGAACTTCTCCATTGATGTCAGTGGGGTATTAAAGTCCCCTACTATGACTCTATTATTGTCAGTCTTTCCCTTTATGTCCATCAAGATTTGTTTTACATATTTAGTTGCTCCTATTTTGGGTGCATAAATGTTTACAGGGGTTATATTCTCTTGTTGGGTTGTTCCCTTTATCATTATGTAGTGTTCTCCTTTTTCTCTAAGTATAGACTTTGTTTGAAGTCTATTTTGTCAGATGTAAGTATTGCTAATCTAGCTTTTTTCCCTTTACATTTGCGTGACATGTCTTTTTTTTTTTTTTTTAAGATCCTATTTATTTTTAGAGAGGGGGATGGAAGAGTGAAAGAGAGGGAGAGAAACATTGATGTGAGAGAGAAGTACCAATTGTTTGCCTCTTGTACGTACCCTCACTGGGGACGAACCTGCAACCCAGGCATGTGTCCTGACTGGGAATCGAACCCACAACTTTGGTTTTGCAGGATGGCGCCCAACTAGCTGAGCCATACTGGTCAGGACTCCATGAAATATCTTTTTCACCCTTAGCTTTTAACTGTTTTTATCTTTCGTTCTGACTTGGATCTCTTGTAGAGAGCATGTATATGGGACTTACTATCTTTTCAGTTACTCTCTGTCTTTTGATTGTAGCATTTAAGCCATTTATATTTAAAGTGATTATTGATAGGCACATATTTATTGCCATTTTATTGTTTATAATTATGCTGCTCTGTTTTGTTTTCGCCTCTCTTCCTTCCCCTCTCTCCTCCTTCCCCCTCCTTTTCCCCCTTCCCCTCCTCCTTCCTTTTATAGAAGACCCTTTAACATTTCTTGCAATACTCATTTTGTGGTAATGATTTCCTTTGCTTTTTCTCATTTGGGATGTTCTTTATCTGATTTTCAATGAAAAAAAAAATAGCCTTGCTGGGTAAAGTAGTGTTGGTTGTAGGTTCTTACTTTTTGTCACTTTGAATATTTTATGCAAATCTCTTCTGGCTTAAAATGTTTCTGTTGAGAAATCAGATGACATTCTTATGAGAACTGCCTTGTAAATAACTATCTTTGTTTTGGGGCTTTTAAGATTGATTTTATCTTTAATCTTTGTTATTTTAATTATAATGTGTCTTGGTATGGGCATCTTTGGGTTCATCTTGTTTGGGACTCTGTGCTTCCTGGACTTATGTGTCTTTTTCTTTCACCAGGTTAGGGAAGTTTTTGGTCTTTTCTTCACATAGGTTCTCAATCCTTCGCTCTCTCTCTTCTCCTCGTACCTCTATGATGTGGATGTTGTTATGCTTTATGTTGTCCCAAAGGTTCCTTAAACTATCCTCGTTTTTTAAAATTCTTTTTTCTTTTTGCAACTCTGATTGGATGATTTCTGCTGCATAGTCTTCCAAATTACTGATTTTATTCTCTGCTTCATGTAACCTACTGTTTTTTTCCTCCTAATGTGTTCTTCATTTCAGATAATATATTCCTCATTTCTGACTGGGTCTTTTTATGGCATTTATGTCCTTTTTCATATCTTTGAAGTTCTTGCTAAATTTTTTGAGCATTCTTATAACCATTTTTTTGAACTTTATTATCTGGTACATTGTTTGCCTTTATCTCATTTAGCTTTTTGGAGATTTTCCCTGTTCTTTCCTTTGGGGCATATTTATTTGTCTCCCTACTTTTGCTTTCACTTTGTTTTTTTTTAGATAGATCTGCTCTGTCCTCCAGTCTTGGTAGGGTAGTCTTATGTAGTAGGTGTCCTCTAAAAACCCTGTGGTCCAGTCTCCCTGCTCACCTGAGCTGGGTGCTCCAGGAGTGTGCCTTGTGTGGGTTATGTGAGCCCTCCTGTTGTAATTGAGTCTTGATTGCAATTGACCTGTTCATGCATGAGATTGACCCTTAGGCTGGCTGACTGTGAAGCTCAACTCTGTCCACAGTATATGAGCTATTGTGCAGGTGCTGACCCCATGAAGCAGAATTTGCTTCAGCAGCATTTAGTGCCTGCCAAGATCTTTCTTGGATTATGCTGCTTGTGAAGCTGATTGGATTCTGCTCAGATGTTGTCTGAAGTTGGCAGCTGGGTGTGTTGTTGCTGGGACCTGTTGGGCGGGACTCTGGTACAGATCAGTGTCAGATGCTGCCTGTGACTGGTCCTGGGCAGCCTGTTTGGGGCTACAAAGTGGGCCACACTTTGTAGCTTGCCTTTGCTGGGCCTGTGTATCCATGGGAAGGACCACCCTGAGTGTCAAAGCCAGCTTACTACCAACATTGAGCCCTGTGGCAGGGTAACAAAAAGCCCAAGGCACCCTGAGATCTGCCTCCACCTGCTCTTGCCTGCTGGCTGCCTGCCAGGCTCAGTCACTCATAGTGCCTCTGGAGGTACTTGAGTTGTATGAGGCAGGTTCTCAGTGAATCATCAGGCAAACTCGGTGCCAATGTTGGATCTGAGGCCACTCAGCAAAAGGCCCACAGTATACCAAGTCTAGCTACCACCCACTGGGTGCCTGCATGGCCTTGTCTTGGGATGAGGTTTGAGGGAGTCATTAGGAGGAGGCCAAGAGAGTTTATCAAGCCCAAATGGACAAAGATTTGGCTGTGTGAAGAGAGGGCTCTGCATTGGTCAAGCTTTTGAGGACAAAATGGCCCTCATCTTAGAGCCACACAACTCAAGCCTCCCCCAGGTTCTGCTGGGACCTCCTGAAGAGCCAAGCTCAGCAGGTTGGGACCTCTGGCAGTTAGGAGGATGGGGGCTAGTTGATGTCCAGTCTTGATGTGACTTCCTCTATAAGTCCTTGGTTATTAGACTTCTGTTCCGCTAGTCTTCAGTTGGTTGTTCAGGTTGATTGTTCTACATCTTAGTTGTAATTCCAGTATGGTCCTTGGAGGAAGTGAGTGTAATTTCCACCTACTCTCCACCACCATCTTGGATCTCTGATTGAAAACTATCATCACTTTATTTCAGTAGCCCAGATATACTAGGGCATCATGCTAAAACATGTAATAAGCCCTGACGAGCATGGCTTAGAGGGTTGGACATTGTCCCGCAAAGTGAAGAGTCACCAGTTTGGTCCTGGTCAGGGCACATGTCTGGGTTGCCAACCATGTCCCCAGTTGGGGGGTGTGAGAGGCAACTGATTGATGTTTCTCTCACACATTTATGTTTCTGTCCTTCTCTTTCTCCCTCCCTTCCCCTCCGTCTTGTGTTCTGCACAGGCCCAGACCTATCTATTCTTCTGTAATGTGCAAAGCTGAGTAAACCATTGATTTTGATGAAAATTATTTTTAAAACTATGAAATACAATATTTGTATATTGAAAATACAATATTGTTTTGGAATACTGAAAACTAGTGTAGTTGTGAACTGTTATGTTAGTGTTAATATCTAGGTCAAGGTAGAGATTGGTAATTACATGAAAATTGGAGGATTTAGAATGGTTGTAGACCCAGCACTCAGATTATTAATGTGGTATATTAGAAGTATCTACTGCTAGTTATGTCAGTACTAGTGAACCTACTTTGAAAATTCGTCTTTTTCATCATAGTGGAAGATTAATAATTGTCATTTTTAAATACATACAAACACTTGTTTCCTATTAAAGTAAATTTAATTACAAAATTTTTAGGACACCCTATAATGAAACTCAATAATATACAAAATAATACATATTTAACACTAAGCATTTTTTCCCCATTGTTCTTTCTTCTTTCTTATTTCTTTGAATGAGTTAAATTCAGTGGTTATAGCTCTTTGTGAGGCAGGTGCTGCTCGTTAGAGTGATTCTATATTTGGAAATAGTAATACATAGACATTGTGATACATATCATTTTATTTAAACAAGTATAATATTAGTGGGATAAGGTCTTTTAAATAGTATTAGTGGGTTAATAGTGATGCACTGTTTATTTTTGAGATGTTTGGCATAGGTCTCATTTATGTATCTTTTTCTTATTATTAGGCAAGAAATTATGAAATGGAATGGATGGGGATATAATGATTCCAAGTTCATCTTCAATAAGAAAGGTCAAGTTGAGTTGACTGGGAAAAGGTAATTCTGTTTATTCTTGTGTTCTTTTTTTCCTCTTTCTATGAAAAATTTTAAACATAAATAACAAATATGTTAAATAATAGGCATACATAAAAATAGAATAATATAATGGCTCCTCCCTCCATTTAAAAATTCTGACTGTTTTGCCAGAATTGCTTCTGTGCTTTCTGTAGTATATTTCAAATTCTGCCATTTTCCTGTCACCTAATGTAGCCAATCATATAACACCATTATCATACTCCCTAAAATAACACATTTTATAATACCTAAATTTCAAGTCCATATTCACATTTCACCAGTTGTCTCAAAAACACCATTTTTTAGATAGTTTGTTTGACTGAGGATGCAAAAATGTCTGCAGTCACCCCATCACTTAATCTCCACACCATTGATTCCTTGAAAGTAACTTCATTTTTAAGACCGGGAATTGACATTTGGGTATGGGTTATTACGGAAGGTGAACAATTTTAAGTGAATATAAATGGTGTTTGTAAAATTAGTTTTCTGAGATATATTAGAGAAATGTTGAAGAAATAGTCATTTGTGTGATAGCTTTCACACTTCTGAAATGTTTTTGTTAATGTGTTAATAAGAATCCTAAAGAATATTTGTACTGTTACTGTTCCAGATACAGACAGTTGTTAAGTAAGTTCTTAGTTGATTTTGAGCAACGGTGACCCTGCTGAAGCTGGTGTTTTGGGTTTGTCTGTTACTGAATTTCAATAAAACTTCTGAAAGGACATTGAGTATAGTTATCTACTATTTGAATGCTGGCTCTAAAAATAAATTAAAAATTGAGACTAGGTAAAAATTGGATCACATATATTATGAATATGTTCCAAGTGCACTTTGACTTAATATCGATTGGGCATTAATATACTTAGATGAATTCTTTTTACACTTGTATGGTATGTCAATATATTGGAAAATCAGCAAGAAAACTTTTATTCCTTTAGGAGGAATTCTTTTTCTTTACAACATAATCATTTTATATTTCTGACTTAAATATACTTTGTACCTGAAACAAAACCTTAAGAATTTTTAAATAGTAATTAGGAACTAATTTTAATGAAGATGTGAAGATGTACATTTGATTTTTACGTTTTTATAGGAAAAATAAATATCTGCATTCTCATTTCTATCCTTAAGTGTGACTGAGCAGCTTGTTGGTTGGAGGCTTAGTTGAGAAATTATTTATAATTCAGGTAGAAAAAATTTCTGGTTAAAACTAAATTTACCAGCCCTTGCTCGTGTGGCTCAGTGGATTGAATGCCAGCCTGTGAACCAAAGGTTGCCTGTTCGATTCCCAGTACAGGGCACAGGCCTGGGTTGCTGGCCAGGTACCCATTGGGGGAACTTGAGAGGACCACACGTTGATGTTTCTTTCCTTCTCTTTCTTCCTCTCTTCCTCTCTCTAAAAATAAATAAATAAATAATCTTTAAAAATATTTAAATTTACCAGTATTCTAAATGTTGAGTGTTTTATGTTTTAAACAGAATAATGTGCAATACAGTAGAAACTTATCTATGTATAAATTGGCTTTCAAAATCTTCTGGAGGAAAAAGTGAATCTTCTGAACTTAGAAAACCAACTCTCAGACATAGTCTTCACTTCTCTTTTTCTTTCCCTTTGGATTGTGAAGATAGGCATGTATATTTTACAGGAGGGGACAAATGGCAACTTGTACTTCAGCACAGTGCCATTGAAAGCAGAGAATTTATCTCTTGGCATTAGACATTGGAAGATTGCTGCTGGTGCCACTCTAACGAGGATTGATTCCATAAAGCCCTCATTCCTTTGCTTGGTTGACTCCTGAGTTAGAGTCCCGTGGGGGTGGTGGGAAGAGAATGGGATGGTGGAGGAGGGTTGCATCGGACTGGCAGAACCTGCAAAGGGAGACCAGGAAAGTGGATGTCAAGCACATCTGACCTACTGGGAGGCAGCCTTCGGTTCCCACAGAAACTCATCCAGAGGGTAATTCTCCAAACACAGAAATGGAATTTAGATATTCTAGGATTAAATATGTACTACATTAAAAATTTCAATAGCTAAAACTAAGTGTTAACTAAATAATATTTAGTTCCCATTTTTTTTCTCAATTTTTCCCCCTTTCCCCCCCTCCAGCCATCCCACCCCCACCCCCACAGTCAATTCCCACTCTGTTGTCCATGTCCATGGGCCATTCATACATGTTCTTTGTCTAGTTCCTTCCCCTTCTTCCCACCACTGTCCTCTTTCCCCATCCCCTTTGGTCACTTTCATTCTGTTCCATGTTTCCATGCCTATGGTTTATTTTATTTGTTAGTTTATTTTGTTGAATAGAATCCACTTATAGGTGAGATCATATGGTATTTTTCTTTCATCAACTTGACTTATTTCACTTAGCTTAATATTCTCTAGTTCCATCCATGTTGTCTCAAAAGGTAGGAGTTCCATCTCTTCTCTCTCTCTCTCTCTCTCTCTCTCTCTCTCTGTTTCTCTCTTTCTTTCATGCAGATTGATTTTATTTTTTTATGTCAAAATTAATTATAAAATATTAAAAAATTTAAAACCATTATAAAGTCTCAGCAATTAAACCAACATGACACCAGCACAGAAATAATTAAATAGACCAATGAAATATATTGAGCATTCTAGAGACATATATGTATGTGTGTGTGTGTATGTATATATATATATATATATATATGTATCTGTCTAACAATATAACATATGATTAAGTTGATATTTCAAATCAGTGGATAAAATAAGGCTTATTCAACAAATAAGTGCATGGACCACTATTACTAAAAATAAAACAAATATAGAGCCCTGTTCCACACATTATACAAGAAATATTCAGGTGAGTTAAAAATCAATATGTAAAATCTAAGGAGTTTTCAGAGAAAATACAAACTAATATTTTTCTTACCCTGAAGTAAAATATTCAAACCCAGAAACTATAAAGTAAAATATTGATAATATGACTATATTAAACATTTAAGACAATACAGTAATATACATATATAAAAAGTTAAAGGACAAGTAATAGAATAAAAAAGTATTTGCAACACATCTAAAAAAGGATTAATGGTTTTTTTTGTTTTTTTAGGGCAAAAATTCTATAAACAATTAAAAAATGGATAAAGAATACCAAAAAGTCATTTAAAGCTTTTTAAAAATAATAGAAAATAGGCAAGAAATATACAAAAACAGGTTTAGTTTCAACAAATAATAAAGGAAAAATTAAAATAACACATCATTGTCACTACCAGATTAAGTATTAAAAATATTGGTAATATCAAGTATTGATGACTGTGAAAGGAACTGGGTATTTACAGATTCTTTTTCTTCATCTTAAAGCAGTCCCTTTAGCATATTTTACAATGCTGGTTTGGTGGAGGTATATTCTTTTAGCCTTCTTTTGTCTGAGAAGCTCCTTATTTCGCCTTCCATTTTAATTGAGATCCTTGCTGGGTAGAGCAGTCTTGGTTGCAGGTCTTTGCTTTTCATTCCTTGGAGTATTTCTTGCCATTCCCTTCTGGCTTGCAGTGTTTCTGTTGCAAAGTCAGCTGCTAGCCATATCGGGGTTCCTTTATATGTTACTACCTCTTCCTTGCTCCCTTTGTGTCGTGGAGTGGGCCTCATTGGGTTTCTCTTGAGTGGGACCTTCTGTGCTTCCTGGAATTGTGTGACTTTTTCTCTCCTCCAATTAGGGAAGTTTTCCATCATTACTTTTTCAAACAAGTTCTCTATCCCTTCCTCATCCTCTTCTCCTTCTGGTATCTCTGTTATACGGATATTAATACGTTCCATGTTGTCCTGCATTCCCCTAAATACTTCTTTATTCTTTTGAGTCTTTTTTTCATTTTATTGCTCTTTCTGGGAGTTTTTTTCTATCTTGTCCTCCAGCTTGCTGATTCAATCCTTGGCTTCATCTAGCTTACTTTGGATACCTTCTACTGTGTTCTTCAATTCAGAAAGTGTATTCTTCATTTCCTCTTATCTCCTATTGATAGTTTCTGTGTCCTTTTTCATGCTGATACAGTTTGCAGTAAGTTCCTTGTCGTTCCCTGTAGTTTTTGGTAATTCTCTCTGAGCTCACTGAGCACATTGAGCTTCTTTATAACCGTTGTTTGGAACTCAGTATCTGATAGTTTACTTGCCCCTATTTCATTTAGTTCTTTTTGTGGGGATTCCTCCTTTCTCTTTGACTGGGGGGTATTTCTTTGTCTTCCCATTTGTGAGATTCTTCTTTTTTGCTTCTGCTTCTTGAATTGATCTCTCTTGATTTCCGGACTTTGTGTTTTGAACCTCTATGGGAGGAGATAGCTGCTTTTACGTCCTGGGTCTCTAGTTCCCATTTTGGTGCTTCTAGAGACACCATTACCTTGTCACAGATAGGATATACTGAAGTGGGTCATAGCTTTCTATTTCTAGTTTTTTAGGGATTGTAGTTGAGTTAGTAGATTTTTCTGAATTTTATCAGAAAACAAGCATTCTTTAAGATGATAATAGCTATTACTTACTTATTGAGTGCCTACTAAGTTATCTTCAAATAACCCAAAGATAAAGGAGGAGGAGCATGAGAAGGTCACATAGCTTACTTGAGGTCACCTACTCAGTGGGAAATTGGGATTAAAAACCAAGTGTTTTTAAGCTTCATTTTCATACTGCTTCTGTTATGCTGTGTTTATGAAGTGCTTCTGCAGATTACCACACTCATCCACTGTATCGATCTTGTTCTCTCTCCACACTCTGGGAACCCTGCATAGTAATCTTTTATACCTACAAACCAGCACAGTAGAGCTAGTCATAGTATACGAAGTTACCCTGTGACAAAAATTTCTGTTGTTCCAGTAAGAGGCAAAGGGCAGAAGCATAAGAAGGTTATGGTAGTCCTAAAAGAGAAAGTGGAATTTGTGACTACAAAGGATAAGTAGAAGAAACTACTGATTTAGCTGAACAGAATTAACTTACTCTTTCGTTATCAGTACTAGATTATAAAGACAATTTTTTG